ATATGTACCTGCTTTAGAGCACAATTTGTTAAGTATATCCATGTTAGACAGGCAGGGTTATGAAATCTGACTCTATTCTATTCTATTCCATTCCATTCTATTCCATTCTATTCTAGATCTTCACAGACCTTCTGCAGAAGTGTGGTACAAGAGGTCCTCACATCTAAATTGCCAAAAGCAGGATGCAACAGATATCAGCAAAATTATAGAGAAACCTCAAACTCTGATGCAATCTCATGATCATTTGGTTTCTGAAGTCCAGATCTGTAGAAGCCACTCTAGAAGGAACAGTAGATTGATTGACCTCAGAATTTAGCAAGATGGCATAGGCTACCCTCTTGGTATGCATCATCTGTGATATTTGAAACAAAGCAAAAATAACAAATAAAAAAAAACTTCCAGGCATTTGCTTTGAACATTATCTGTGTTCTTGCAGGAATGGCTTAGAATTCTTAATTTAAGCCAGGATTACTGATAAAATAGAATGTAAGAAAAAAAACCAGCTGTTATTTCACCAAAATAGTAATTGAAGCTTGCTCTACTACTGACAAAATTGCATTCCCCCCCCCCCCTAAAATCCAATGAATATTAGATTTTTGTTTCTTTTCCTTCTTGGCAAGATGGCAAGCATTCAGATACTGGGGCAAGAAGACAGAAGGAAATTTGGATAACATATTTTTTTTTAGCAATGGTTAATGATTTCACTTGATTATTTTTCTCCAAGCTAATGATTAGTATATCTGTGCAAAGATTAAACAGATTATGGCTTTGCAGAAGAGCAGGTGCTACCGTGGAACCTGCCTCCCACATGGCAAATTAAAATATTAATAAAGGAAAAATCATCTGGAAACATTTAATTTCCAGTGGTAATGATTACAATTAAGTATGAAAATCATTCCCAGTTTCAAAGTTATTCCATTCAGAGTTAATTATGCCACATTGATTTTTCCATTACTGTGGCTGCTGCTGAAGCTCCAACTAGCTGTACTACCTAGTCTGACTTTAAACACCTCCAGAAAAAAAGAAGAAGCAAATTGTATTATAGCATTAAAAGTATCTGAGCTTTTCTTTTTCAAAGAGCAATCAGTGCTTTGGGGTGAGGAGGAGTGGAAGAGAAGAAGAAGAAGAAGAAGAAGAAGAAGAAGAAGAAGAAGAAGAAGAAGAAGAAGAAGAAGAAGAAGAAGAAGAAGGGACAGGATAACATCCTGCAGAAGGAGAGATCCAGATGCAAAATTCATCATATTCCAGAAAAAAGATTGAGAACTACAGTAAACGCTTCATCAGTGGTGGGTTTCAAAAATTTTTAGAACCTATTCTGTAGGTATGGTCTGTTTGTGGAAGTGGCTCAGCAGTCATGTGACCAGGTAGGAGTGGCCAAGTCGATGTCATTGAATTCTTTGCCCCAATGAATGACCTACAAAAAGAAGCTATTAAAAAAGGGAAATTATTATTTTGTTCCCTTACTACTTAAATAAGATTAAAATAAGCACACAAAACAATAAAAGAGCTACTTACAGAAGGAAGATGACTGTCCTTGCCAGTCTTCTACATCACTGACGACACTTGCTCCAATGAATGGCCTGCACAAAGAAGAGATACAGAAATGAACTCTTCAATTGCATGCACTACATTAAGGATGAAAAAAGCACACAAAACAAAAAAAGAGCTACTTACAGAAGGAAGATGACTGTCCTTGCCAGTCTTCTACATCACTGACGACACTTGCTCC